GTTTAAATGCTTTTGGGAATTTCTTATCAGCTTGCTCCACTGCTCCGCATCGGAATTCAGGAGGGAAGCTAGAAGCATCGCCTGAGCTCGTGACAACGTCACACTGCACATCCGCACGAGTTCATTACCTTTTTGACACATTTAGAACGAAGCTAATGTTCTTCACTAAGCAGCATCATTCCTCGCCAGGACGTTGGCGGCTTATGCCAATGCCCCTGAACTGTGACTGCACGTATTACTTTTTTGTCAATGTTCCACGCTGTCGCTGCCATTTGCACGGGCGATTAGTCTGCATAATGCAGCGCCGGACGACGCCGAGGTGTCCCTCTCACAATGGACGGCGTGACACGCAGGCGGGCCACCTCTGTCACGGCGTGTTAACGGACGTAACCGTGTCCGCGCACCGCCCGCCGGCCGTGCGGTACCCGGCCTGCGCGCCGGCGGATTCCGTGTCAGCCTGCGCTCCGTCGCTGGGCGCGCCTGACCGGTGTCCGGCCGTGGTCGGACCACCAGGCGCCGGTGGCGGCGCCGGTCACGGGTCTGGGGCCTGTGGACGCGGCCCGTGGGCTGGGCGTGCGGCACGCGGGACCTGGCGACGCTCTGAAGGAACCTGGCGACGCTCTGAAAGGACCTGGTGACCCTTTGAAGGATGCGCCTGACTTTGTTTGGTGGGGCGCTGCGCTTGATTATCGGAGGTTTTTCCTCAGGGGCGGGCTAGAAGACATCGAATATCTGATGACTGTCTCTTAAGTTCTAAAGTAAAGTTCTGAGGTCTCTAAAGCTGGGTTTCCCTTGACACTGGGCGGTGTCTTCCGTCGTGTTCATGTTTGTTGATGCTACCATTGTACGGCACTCATGGTTTGAAGTTCTTTCTCTCATGGTTTCTCCCACTTACTGCCGCCCTTTTGTGTGCCGTCGGACGTATTCCTTGGTGGCGACTTTCCTACCACCGCCAACCAGTCACTTGCCAATATGATATGATGTCGATTCCCCCATCAATACTGTTTGTGTGTGAAAGGGGAAGCGACAGCTCTTTTTTCTGCCCCTGGTATTGGTTTTAACAAATAAGTAATGCGTCCCGTATACACTGCATTACACATGAATGTCCGTTTGCACCGTTGTTGGCTCAGCTCCTCACGATCCTTTGTGGGGGCGCTGTTACTGCTCTATACACAACACAGGTATTCAATTGTCAGCGTATAGTGGTACACAGTTCCTTTGTCCGGTGTTTGCCCTTGAGCCGGTGTTTGCAGAGCGGCCTCCGAGGCGCTGCGCCGCCGGGCGGGCCCTGGTGGGTGCCCGGCGGTGCCCGCCGAAGCTGGTCATACCGATCGCACGCACACTCGGGCACGTCCTCAGGGCGCGCTGCGGTGACGAGTCTGCGTCTCCACTTGTGTGGCATCACTCGTGCAGACACTGTTTCGCCACGTGTCCTTTAGGGGCGGGGGACGGGGGGTGCAGCGAATGGGGCGTCCGTTCGTTAACGCGGCCGTCAGCCCGATACACATCACACCCGTCCGCTGCGATTTTCATCAGTGTCCCGCTAGCGTTCGGCGCGTGACTTCATGGCTCCTGACCCCGTGGATGTAAAAGCTCTCGGTCCTGTTGATGCCGAAGCTGCCAAGCCGGTGGATATCCAGGGCTCAACAGCCTGGCCTGGCCTGTGACCGCGCAGGCCGTCCATGAACAGGCGGCGCATGATTGGGCTCCGGGGCCGGTCGTCACGACGCAAACCCTCATCGCCCGGCAGTTGACTGCCGGCTTTATTACCGCCGCACCGGCTCATTATGGATCGCTTCCCATGAATATGAGACAAACGTTCGAAAGCGAGCGGTCGCGCTCCGGGGTCTTGCATCGGCAGCTAAACAACCCCCGTCCGACGTCCGACGAGCTGTGCGGACCGTCGGGCGTAACGCCTCCCGGGGACCAGCGGAAAGAAGCGCCCGCCGCCGCCTGGGCGTGGCGCAGCGGCGAGCCGAGACCCAGACCGCCGGCCGCGCGCTCTCTCCGTCCCTCGCCTAGTAAACAGGCCACGTCATGGGCGCACCGTCAGACCGCCGGCCGCGTGCTCTCTCCGTCCCTCGCGTGCTGTGACCGGCTGGCGGACTGAGGCCGGGCCGCTCGTGTGCATGTCGTCCGACGCGGTGGCCGCGGAATGGCCGACCGGCGGCGCATTATGGGGCCATTGGTGGCCGATTGGTCCGCTGGCGACCCGTACGGCGCGGCCCGGCCGATCACCAGCGGCGTGATGAAGCGCCGAGCGGCAGCCACGCTCGCCCTCGGTGCCCCGGAGTGCCCCCGGCGCCCGTACGGCGCGGCCCGGCCGAACACCAGCGGCGTGATGAAGGCCGAACGGCAGCCACGCTCGCCCGCGGTGCCTCGGAGTGCCCCCGGTGCTCGCGGCGCGACGCTCGAGCCGTCGGGAGTGACCCCCCTGGCCGGTGGGTGCGGCGGCGCCGTCGGCCGTCGCTGAAGCGGCAGCGCTGTCGCAGCTTACAGCCCGCCGCGTCGGCTCCGGTGGGAGGCGCGTGGCGGGGTGGGAAGAAAGCGGCTCTGAAACGAGCTGCGCGAGGCGAACAGGCGGTATTAAACGGCCACCGATGAGAAGCTAGCTTTTTCGGTTATTTGGAGCTCCGAGCGCAAATAACTAACACAGTCGATGTGCCCCTCAAGCCCAATAACTAAAGAGCTCCGAGCGCTTCCGCGCCTCCTCGTGTTTACCTCGCGTTGACTCATTGGAGCTGGGCTCTTGCCCAGCAGTTGACCAGTTGTCGCGGCGTCTGGCTGCCAGCAGAGCCTGTCGCCCCCCACCGCCCTGTTTTGTGGCATCGCTCAGTGTCGCTGGCGCAGGAGCGGCCATGTTTAGTTGGCCTGGGCTCGCACTCTTGAACAAAGTTGTGACACGCCCAGCGGCTGTTTGACGCGTAATGTGATGTTTTCAAGATACGTGCATCGGAAAGTGGGGTGCTTTCAGCTCGCATGCGTATGAAAGTTGCCTAATTGTAAACGATATCGCCTAAGTGCGGCATTGACCCGGCTGCCGATAGCCGGCAGCTGACGGACGACGAACTAATGGCATGCCGCCTGAAAACTGAAATTGCCCCGCAAGCGGGAGGCCTTTGACTGATGAGTCGCCGCGGTGACCGACGTCGTTCGATAATTGCGACGTTTTGCGAAAATGACCAGTAAATGCCGAAGGCTGTTGCGTGACTCCCGCCCGTGTCGCGTGCGCGCTGTTGGTAACGGACCGAGCGGCGCGCCGGCGAGGGTGTAGTGAGAGATGTTTGTCGACACCGGCGGCACTGCATGGAGATAGGAACGGGGCCGCAATAGCCAGACGGTGACGAATTGAAGGATGATATGCTGTCCTAGTTATACAAATTTTTAAGTTGGGTGTACTGATGTTTGTGTTGGTTTTTTATTGCCTGTTTCTTCTCATAGTTGTCACGCAAGCTTAAACTGCTGGTGAGCTACCAGGTGCGCAGTGTTTACCGTACATGGCAAGGTCGACGTTCTCAGAACCTTGGCAGTGTCCTGAGTCGTGGTCGGATCTTGGGAGGCTTCCATCTGACCTCCGCTCTCGTCCTACGCTCCTGTTGAGGGACTTGAAATGTTCGTGGCGCCGATAGCATCGCGTGTGACGTCCGAGGGGCCGCTGTCCGCGCGCGCGGCGCCTACGCGACCTGGTGTGTCCCCGGAGCCCGTGGTTTGGTATGACTGTGGAGCCCTCGCCACACGCAGTGTACGTCCGAACTGACGCGTGTCCGTGGAACTTATGGCGTCACGCGTGTCGTTTGTTGGACTCACGCGTCGCACGCGGCCGTGGCGTAACCTGATGTGTCCGTGAATGTGTCCTGAGGAGCCTGCGACGTCAAGCATGATGTGTGTTGGATCCGCGTGTCGTATGCACTGTCTGGGCTTTGGACACAATGTGTCCGTTGAGCATGTGATGTTGACCATGAGGAGTGTTGGCCCCATAGGATGTGCAGCGTCGCTCGTGGCTGGGACCTGGTGTGTCGGTGGAGCCCGTCATGTCAGGTGTGAGGCCCGTCAGGCCTGTGGTACGGGCCGCGGTGTCCGTGCCACCCGGCCTCCACGGCAGGCGGCGGCGAGGTCGTCCGGTGACCGCCGGCCCGTGCGGCGCCGCAGGACCTGTTCGCGGCGCAGACGTACGGCGTGCTGTACCCGGCCGACCGGCTCAAGGTGGACGTCAACCCGTCGGGCGTGGTGATGGTGCGCTGCGGCGCCGTCGCCGGCCGCGGCTTCGGCCGGCCGCCGGCGCAGCGGCTGACGCCCGGCCGCCGGCTGCCGCTCGCCGCCGGACGCTTCTTCTGAGGTGCGCGCCCCAGGGAGGCTCGTGCCTGAGACGGGCGGGGCGGGCGTTACGGTGGGACTGGGTGTGGGAGGGTGGGGTTGTTCTGGCGGGGTCGCGTACACTGCGGGTCCGTGCGGAAATGGAAGGGTTCTATCTGTCGTACTGTGGATCAGCAGGGAAAAGCAGGGGTCCAGGGGCTGTCTGTTGGTCTGAGAATGACAGGTGATATTGACGCTGCTCGGTGAGATCGAAAGGCGTGCACTCTCAGTCGGTTTTGGAGCGAAGCTCGCGAACTTCCGATCCTGCAGAAGGATTCTCTGTCTCCTGATCTATCAACTGGTTCACACGACATCGTCCGGAGAGGGTGAAAGATAGCACGGCAATCATAAAAGTCGCTTGAAGACGCGCATCGGGTCTTACTGCATTCACTACGGACCACCTTTAGCGCTGTTGGGCCCAGTAGCCGATATGCGTCCTCCCCAACTGTCACGGCACGCTGCCCCAATGTGACCTCGAGCCCATCCACAACCCCCAACTGTCACGGCACGCTGCCCCAGTGTGACCTCGAGCTCATCTACAACTGCCGCCCACGCAGTCGGTGACAGTTGCGCCTCGAGCCCACCCACAGCCACCACCCACGCAGGGATGGGAAAATCGAAACGTGTCAATAATGCTATCTTTTCGCAGGGACTGCCATTGTCGGAGACATAACGGATGAGATTCGTCGGTTGTAAGGTAAATCGACGGCATTTTTTGTGCAGCTGTTTCTCATTTCATGTGGACTGAAATAGTTATTTTTGATTATTTGCATTAAACTATTTACGTTTCGTGTGCACGGTTTTAATATCTTGTCATCACTTTCGTAGAATAACTACTGCCATCGATTTTTTTACGTCAGGCTCGAAGTTCGGTTTCGATGGTTATTAATGCGCAAAAATCTTTTGCTTTTCAAAAGCACAAAACGAAATCATTTCGGGGTGTTTATGCGTTACTGCGCGTTCATCTTTTGCCAGGAAATTGGTGTACATTTTTGGTGTCAAAATGTCGTTCTGTTTGTAGCGGTGGTGTAACTGAAAATGTTATAGCGCGTGCATGCTCTGCGATGACGTCATGCATGCACAAAGGAGGTCAGTATTGCTTCATTGATTCAGCAGGCTTTGAAAACGCGCCGTGCTATTTTATGTTTATTTCACGTCGGGACTATGCGAGACCATGCGAACTCAAAGCATTCAGAACGGCGCTCCTGTTAATGCACCCTCAATGGTTGATTTGACCGCAGTAATGGTCTATTGTCACCCAACGAACTGGGTTTCTTCGCCGCCGCGAGTTTCTTTTGTTCGGTCCTGATATGGCCGCCCATTGGTCCGCACAATAAAGGAGCTGTCCTGGTCATGGCGCCTGTTCAGTGGACCTTTGAATGAGTCGTTGTCTGCGATGGAAGCTTGGACTTGTGTATATGCATGGGGTTATACGTACCGTGCCATGCCTGTCGGCACTGTCTCAGCGTGAGCGGGTGTAGTGCCGTGAGCCCTTCCCTGGGCCCTGGGTCTTTCCTTACGAGTGACCGGACAGTTGGCTTCTCCGACTTACAGTACCTTGGAGCTAAACGTGGTAGGAGGGTGATAAAACGCCATTGGACATGTATTGCGAGTCGAATGTGGAAGTAAATAACTCCGTTTTTCATGCGCTGTTGTGAAGATTTTGCACGGCGTTTGTTCGGGCTGCAACGGCACTCGATGCCGCACTCACAAAATTCTGAATTGCGAGCGCAAACAAACGCAGTGCAACGGCATCAGGTTCATCACGTCAAAGTCAGCGATCCACGACGGTCTGGATGTTCATATTTTTGGATGATACTTGATCCGACGATATGTCGCCGTCGATGCCGGTCTCGCTCAGTTCGTGCTACAGGACCCAGAGTGCTGAGCAGGCGCCGTCCGCGCGCAGCCTGGTGTCGACCGAACGCTTCACTGGACGCTACTTCAGTCCCCTGGAGAAACTGTCCCGCTCATTGCATTACGTGTGCTGCTTGGTGCTGCGTGGGGGGCGGGTCACCGTTCAGGCAGCGGCTGGGGCGAGGCATGTGGGTGCCGCGCGTGTGCGTGCCACCGCAGCGGTTTGTGGTCGGTCCCGTCCCCTGTCCGCAGTGCGTGCCGCCGCAGCGGTCTGTGGTCGGTCACGTCCGCTGCCCGCAATGCGTGCCGCCGCAACGGTCTGTGGTCGGTCCCGTCCGCTGTCCGCTGTGTGTGCCGCCGCAGCGGTCTGTGGTCGGTCCCGTCCGCTGTCCGCAGTGCGTGCGGCCGCAGCGATCTGTGGTCGGTCCCCTCCGCTGACCACCGTGCCGTGCCTCCACCTGTCACTGCCTGCCTGTCCCCTGTGGGTCTCACGCCGCGTAGTCAGGCCCTGGCCGGGGGGCTCCTCAGCCGGCGGTGTCTGCCGCCGCCTGCCACTGCTCCGTCTGCCGTTGCAGGGCGGCCGGGGAGCGGGCCGTGCCGCCGACCATGCTGTGCTTTGTGCCTTGCCGACCGGCCGGGTGAGACGCGGGCGACCTCGCCAGAGACGGCCCGCCGTGGTGGCCAGCGTCGTCTGAGGCCCCGACGCCGGGCTGGCCGGACGTCGGCTCAGCGCTCTGCTACGGGGCCCGTCGGCCAGAACGGGCGCAGTTTCTGCTCCTGGGTCAGCCAGGCCAGAGCCGGGTCGAGGGGAGGGGGTAGTCGCTCTGGTGGTCCATCGAGATCACCAGCTTGATTGTACGTAGCTAGCGAAGGATTATCATGCTTCTCATCCGCATGTATTGTCTAGGTGTGCTCTGCCGTTGCTCTGTCGTTTGACGTTGGCGCGTATGACTGACGCCAGTCCACCTCCAAGATGGTGCGCTTTGATTGCGTTTTACGGCCCGATTTGAGTTCACCACGAGCGGTAAATTTCCAGATGCAAAGCCGTGTTGACAAATTGTGCATAACGGTGGGTATTTCTGCGGAGAAAGTTGTGGAGTCCAGCCGTGTAAGGTTTGGCCATTTACCATTGTGGGCAAGGTTTTTAAAACTAAAAAGAACGCAACAAGGCGACACACCCCAGAATATGGCCTGTTTGAAATGTTAATGCGTAGGTGTTCTTGCTATACATTTGAACCGAGTGTGTTTATGAAACCGTATAAGGTTTGGAAGACCACTTGATAATGTCGCCTGTCCTGTGGCGCTTAGGTGCGCGTCTATATGCGTACGGACATTCCCATCACGGTTGTGTTTGATGCTGCAGAATAAACTTGACAAATGCTGCTGTCCTGTGGACCTCGCCGGATGTGAGTGAAGTGAAACAAATGCCCAAGATGGTGGCGACTAGACTGGAAGTCGCGTCTAGTTTGCATCAATGTGCGTTTTTCTGCGGAAGGGGGCAGTTGTCGGAGGCATACGTTTGTAGCTTAGTCAGAGGGCGGCGCCTCGACTCGGCTTTGCCCTGTGTCGATGTAGCACCGTTGCGACCAGTCATCGATGCATCCAAGCTGGCATGGCCTCCAAGGCTTCAGCTTCCCCGAGCGGCTTACCGGGTCAATAACACACAAACGCTTTGCACCGGATCCGAAATTCGTCGTTGAATCCATTCAAAGGCGTAGAACGAGGTCAGAGCCCGCTGAAACGCGAGCATTTTGAAACCAAGTAAATCTCTTGTGTAAATGCCTCGTCGGTCTGCACATAAATTGTCTTGAGAAACTATGCCACTCATTGCACGACACGTATAACATGCTACGGTAGGTCCTACGACAGCGGTCGTTCACAGACACCTACCGCTCTCTGGCCCGGATGCTACGGTAGCTCCTACAACAGAGCGGTCGTTCACAAACACCTGCCGCTCTTTGGCCCGGATGCTACGGAAGCAGCTACAACAGAGCGGTTGTTCTCACCCACCTACCGCTCCCCAGCCCGGATGCTACGGTAGCTCCTACAACAGAGCGGCCGTTCACAAACACCTACCGTCCTCTGGTCCGGATGCTACGGTAGCTCCTACAACAGCGGTCGTTCACAAACGCCTACCGTTCTCAGGCCCGGACGCCATGGTAGCAGCTACAAAAGAGCGGTCGTTCTCAAACACCTGCCGTTCTCTGGCCCGGTCCGCGACTTCAACCGGAACCGCTCGAGTGGACGGCACCGCGCGAAAACCACACACCTAACGATTTAGGATGCAGTCAGGACCTGCCTCCCAGGGGGCACGTGACATATCGCTCTTGAACGTCCTCCTCCTTGGAATAAGCGTCATTCATGTGACAGCCTTGTGTAGACAATAATTATGCAACAAGTGGTCGCATCGCAAAACCATGGTGGTGCACATGCATAAATACATCACACCTTTGTTCGCAAGCCACGTAAGCAACATGAAATACGTCTCCCTGATGTATCTCCCACCGTCGATTGCGCATGGGCATTAATAAAAGCAAAACCACACGATTTCACCCAGTGAGGCACTTACATGGATGGCACGTGTCGGCAGACACCTGCAGAGCCACTGTGCACCAAACTTTGCGCTATGATCAAGTGCCTTCAGCTTCGCTGGAAGCTTGTGCTCTGCCAGCAAATGCATGGAAGTATTTGCTACCTTTGTACATGTGCATGGCACAAATATATAGCATGGTTCAATACATGTTCCGTTTCGACGTAAGCTCCGTGGTGGACTTGAGACATGCCAGAGCAACAACTCACCAGTAGGCTGTTGGCCGCGTAGAAATATTTCATCTTCCATGTGGTGTGTGAAAGGCACCGTGGGTTCGATTATATATAACATCATCTTCGCTCGACATCAGGGTCACCCGGGTCACTAGACAGCCGCGCAACATCAACTCATCATCCTTAAAAGATCCACCGCGGCTAGCTGATCCATACGACGAAGCTAAAATATGTCTAAAATCAGGATCACTAAGTAGTTTCGAAAACTGCACAGCGGACTCTGTGCGAACTTCGATCCCAAAAGCTGTCCACACACCTCAAACACTCAACACCGATGCCAAAAGCTGTGGCAGGCCGAGTGGCCGGAGACGCCGACTGCCCGGCGCGCGCCGCATTCGTCCGGGCGGCCGCCAACCCCCGCGGCCCGCGGCAGTTCCGGCGCAGTCGGCGGCCGGCGTCGGCGCCCGCGGCTGGATGCTCGCCTACCTCGTGCTGCTCTTCCTGCTGGTGTTCGTCACCACGTTCTTGTGGCGAGCGTCCGTCTACACCGACCCGCGCCGCTTCTAGGGCCGCCATGGCGGCCACGGCCGGGTTCGTGCAGACGGTGCTGGCCAGCGTGTGTCTGGAGACACGGCTGCCCAGCCTGCCTACCGTGCCGCCGCTGACCGCCACACGGCAGGGTGAGTGTGGGCTCAGCGAGCTGCCGAGGATGATGATCGGCTCCGCTGCCACAGCCAAACAGGTGAAACTTATTGCGCTTCTCCCCATCCGCACTTCACGTTGGTGAGGTTTTCCGCTCTTCAGGCGGGTTGTCAAGAATCTCCACTTCCATAACTTAACAGCAACAAAGTGTTTGCGTCCTCTCTTCCCTTCCCGCGTTTAGCGTGGTCCGAACGTAACAGCCAACGCCGTCAATATGTGACTGTTGATGCCAGCCCGTGACGTGCCGATCAGCACTGTCACTCCTACCCGGCTGGTACCGCCACACGGCAACGGTCGACAACGCCGGGACGCAGCAAAATGCTATCAAAATATTGATGATGTAATTGTTATTCCTGTAATGTTGTCGCCATTATGGCTTAATGTGAGTGTTCTAATGTAGGTGATGAAACGCTGCGTAAATGTTTTGGTGTAACGTTAATGCCAACAAGCGACAGCTAGTTTGTGAACGCTAACATTCGTGAATGCTAATGCATGTGACCGCCAAAGACACCAGTCCACAACAATTCATAGCATCGTCGCGTAACTTCCGACGTTTTCACTGGCGAGACTGATACCAAAGTAGAAAACGATCGGCGCCAATTAGCTGTAAACGCCATCAGTCAAGTCAGCACCATAGGCAAAACCATTTAAAACCAGCATCATCACCCCTAATGATTAACACCACTGGACAGATGATCGCGATAATCGCGATGTCTTGATCATTGCATGCCAGTTGGAAGGTACGCAACGGTCGACGTCGCCTGTCCGTGACATTACTGAGTTCGTAACGGAGCCGGCACCGAAGGCTCGTCGCTGTGATGCCATTCGAGCGGTACGGTCAACTTTCTACCCTTTATAGCCAACACCATAAGAACGTAACCGTCGACATGTGCTGCTCCTAGCTTTCAACACTCTTATTTCTTAACACTTGGCACCATTAGTCGGTTACGGTCAACACTGTTAGTCTTTAGCGGTCAGCACGACCAGCCATGGCTGTCGTCGTTGGTCCTAAACGGTCAACAGAACACCGCTGGTTCGAAGTGGTCAGCATGGTCAGCGTTAACTTCGCACGGCAGGCCAGCTTGACCCTCTGGCCTTCCTGGCCCATCACCAAACCGGTGCGTTCTACGCCCGTAAAATTCGACGTCTTTTCATGCATATTGGTCTGATCTACCCTGACAAAATGGCCATGCCTTGCACAGCCCAGAGAGGGCTCGGGGTGGTGGGAGGCACGTCAGCACAAGTCGTGGTCGCCTCAGAGGACTGCACTGTCCAGATTACTTCCTATTACTGAGGGACGTCAAATGACCCGAATTGTTTTGAGTACGGTGAAATGACATCAGTAACGCAGCGGCCATGCCCATGACAGACTTTAAATTACCATTAACAGATGTGTAGGCCATGTCAGGAGGGCGATACCATGATGAATCGGCGCTGGTTGTGTGCTAAAATCAGTGTGTGGTGCTCATTACGAGGGAAGCCGCAGGCCGGGTGAGCCTGCTTGAGCTATATAAGTTTTCAACTTGAGCGGCCGAACCGGCCCGCACCGGCCGCTATGTCTTTTAGGGGTCAATAGCTCGCAACCCTGGCTGCAAGCTGATGCACCTCTCAGCAAAAAAAAAAAACAACATCAAAATCTGTAACAGGTGTGTTACGTGAATTATCAGGCATTTGTAAACAAGGAGTCTGCGCTTGGGCCAATTTTTCCAGCAAGCTTGCAATGCCTCTACAATTGTACTTTCCCTACTGCATGAATGCGTGAAAGGATTCAATTTTAACACTGAAACGTGAAATACCAGGGCCTAAGCCGTGTCCAGATCTCGCTGATCCAATATCAAAGCATCCCATCGACACGAGGCTGATATATTCTGATGGAGGAGAAAACGGAAGATTCCATAGAGGACGCTGTGGGTCTATGTGTGTACAAGTTTACGCGTTTTCGTGCGCAAGCAATAAAATATCCTGTTTTGGTGGTAATTTTCAGAATTGGTGTCACATCTCAGCGACCACAGCACATGCAGATGTAAAGCTAACGTAACGGTGTATGTGAATGCACCGGCCACGACTCGATGATGGACCTGAAAAACTTCCCGGTCCGTGCATTGGCTAGTAAGCGACTGAGAGGTGGCAGGTGCCACCCACCTCTTCTGAAAACGATCTCGGATACAAAACACTGCAGCTCAAGTGCGCAGCCATAGCACACAAGGGAGGGGCACAGGGTTGACAGATAGTAAAAGGGTGTGATCCCCAACCCTGTGCCCCCCAGGGTTGACGAATAGTAGAGGGCCCTGACAGTAAAAGGGCATACCATCAAACAGCAAGGAATCGCCGAATATGGTCCATCTGTTAACGAGGCCATGTTTTTACGTAAGTTGTTCAGTGCACTGGCGAGTAACATTAGTCACACAGATAAGACGGTAGTATAAGCCTTATTCTTCGGAGAACCATGGGATTGGAGATAACGTTAGGATGATATTTCGGCAAGATGCCTTCCTTGAAACAATAGCAGAAGTGAAGTCAAAATTGCCTGCCCATGATCCTATTAGATTTTTCAGGTTTTTTTGAAAGAGCAAGCCATAGTTTTTACAGGGCACCAACATTCAGGGGATTGTACAAACGCCGATTGCCAGCCATTACCAAGATACAGCTCCCGCCTATGGATTAGAATGCCCGGACATACGTGTACGTACAAACAAATTCAAGCAAATAGGCATCACGCATCACGCTTCATTCGGACATGCAAGCGAGTTCAAGTAAACAGGCATCACACATTGCGCACCAATTATTGCGCGATGTGTGATGCCTGCTTTCTTCAACTCGCTCGCATGTTCGAATAAAGCATGATGCGTGATGCTTATTTGCCTGAATTCTTCTGTATGTACACGTATGTCCGGGCATTCTAATTCTTAGACAGGCACTGTATCTTGGTAATGGCTGGCAATCGCTGCTGAATGTTGGTGTCCTGTGAAGATTGTGGCTTGCTCTTTCAAAAAAACCTGAAAAATCGAGTAGGATCATTGGCAGGCAATTTCAAGTCACTTCTGCTATTGTTTCGGGAAAGGCATGTTGCTAAAATATCAACCCAATTATGTTTCCATTCTCCTGTTTTTTCCCAGGAATAAGGCCAATACTACTGTCTTATCTAGGCCATGTTTTTCTTTAATATTTTCATGCTTACTTTCTCCAACTAAAAAAGAAGCTGAGAAGTACCACAGCTCATTTCTGCCTAAATGCATCAAAGAACTGCATGAAAAGATCGCTCTTAATTTTGCATTGGTTCCATGGACTTATTCTAGGCCGATGGGACTCAGAGGCTTTGTCAGAATCTTTATCTTAGTTTACAGAGATATGAGGGACCCTGCAAGCATGCATCGAAGTGGGTCAACAATATGTATTAGCATGGCCAAGTCATGTTTGTCTGAAAATTTTCAACATGCAGTCAGAGTTATTTAGTAACATGGATCATGTAACATAAAATTGCGAGAGTTGAACTCTCCAAAAATCATAAAAATGCCCAACTTTAGGCTAGTCTTTGAATTTTTCGATGTTCTCAATTGTTTACTAGTTAACAGATCTGTCCTTTTTCTATAAAACGTTGCCCTGCATAACCCCTTAGGGCCCTAGGTTGCCTATGTTGGTCCTAGCAAAATTAATCTGCAGGAATTCAGATAGCTCGTCCGATTATTTAGAGATCTTTTTTATTTGCCGCATCTGATTATGAAAAAGGCCGAGGCATGACCTCTTGTTGTGCACTGTGGGCTCCCAACCTACACAGGGGCGCAAACCACTATTTCGGCGACCCAGACCAATGTAAATCGTACCCCCGGTTTCGCTCCTGCTTGAAAAATGGGCCCCCAGGGTTCAGATTGACAGTGAACCAACTGTTCAATGTCCGTGATCTCTGGCCGACTCAGACACCGGCAATGTTTCAGAGGGTCATCAAACAGTGCAAGAGGACCTCTGACTGATATTCCAGGTCATGATCCTACAAGCCGCGATCCTTTGTGTGACCTACAGCCAGTCCTTCGGACCCTCATACCCTCCAACAGGGCCTTTGATACTCGGTTCCGGTGGGTCGCCCGGGCCCCTCTCCAGGCCTCATCGAACACTGGCCTTGGTCGGCCCAGAGCCTCTGCGGGCACAGGACCCTCTGTTAGGTGCTGTAGGCCCCGGACAGATGCAGAGGCCCCGACCAGTGTAAATAACTGGCCCCGGCTTTGCAGCTGATTGGGAAGTGGGCGCTCAGGCCCATTCCGATACGGAGCCGACTGCGCAGTACTGGTGGTGCCTGACCGACATATAGACCCATATCGACTCAGGGTGTCCCTGATCGGCGCCCAGAGCCCTCTGACTGTCATTTGAGAGGCGGTCGCGCAGGCAAAAGGGCTGGTCTCTAGGCCCTTGAATGAGACTCCGACCAGCCCTTCGTGTCTTCAGACCTTCCAATTAGCCCTTAATTGTCAGACTCTTATCCTTGGCTTATCCTGGTTGGACCCCCCGGGCTCTTAGGGCCTCCTCGAACACTACCGCTGGTCAATTTGGGGCCGCTCGCAAGCACAGGCGCCGTGGGGCCCCGAGCAACGCAAATCGCTAGCTCCAGCTTTGTCATTGCTTAAGAAATGGGCCCTCAGCCCCATGCCGCCACGGAACCGACTGTGCATTACTGCTGGTGTCTAACCGATATATAGGCCCTTATCGATTCAGGGGCTTTATATAAGCGCGCAGGGCCCTCTGACTAGCATTGGAGTGCCCGGCCCAGCCTGCCGGGGCCCGAGCTCCGGCCGGTGCTTTGGGCCCTTCGAGCATTCAAATTGGGCCCCTAATCGTAGATCCCGAGTGGCTGCTCGGAGCCTAAGGGGAAAGGGGTACGTGCTCCCTGTGCCCCCCCCCCCCCCCTGCCTGCGCTACTGCTGCAGCCTAAACCAAGGAAGGTTGGGCCATGGAAAATACACAGGCGTAGTGTGCTGTTCAATTCGAC